CCCACCGCACTCATCGGATACACTTCCAGACGAGGGGGAACCAGACTCAGAGATGCCGTGGATAGTTCAGGACTGACTGGCCTCAGACATTTTGGAAAAGGGAAAAGAACTCATCAGACTCACAGGAAAGCCAAGTGCAGTTATGAGAGCACTCTTTTAGGGGACTAACATAAGAAGCCAACAGATCTCTCCCTCCTTCCCAGCAGGAAGCCTGCAGTCATCCCTAACAGTGCTGATAGACCCCCGTGCTTGGCCAGGCTCCCACCCAACCATCTGGAGCTCATCCACCGAGATGCAGCTCTGAGGAAGGAGACAGAGCCTGGCAAAGGTGTTCAGAGAGCAGCTGGGGAGAGGGGTTTGGCTCCTGAGCTTCAGCACAGCTTCACTTGACAGCAGCTGAGAGCACATCTCCTCTGAAGGTGGAGCAGCTCCGGTGGCACCGCAGTCCTGAGCGAACTGGGATAACCAGCAGCCCCTGCTGACAGCAGCATGTGCCTGGAAACCCTCCCGACAGGCCAAGCCAGCAGCTGGGCCGTGCTCCTGCTGCACTTGTGTGGGTACCAGAGCTTGTTCCACCCTGCTCACCTGGTGTCCCCGGGACCCACAGAGCCCCAGCAGCTCCTGCACCGCAGAGCGGTTCCTGCGTCCCTTCTGCTCTCCCCAGCCGGGGTGTTCAGCTGGCTGGTGCCTCCAGCACAGCTCCATCCCACTGAGGGCCCACAGTTTGCTTGGCACCTGCAATGCTGCTTTGAAGGCAGCAGCATATTCACCCTCCTCGAGGGCTGTTAACGAGAGCCTGTTTCTCCAGTGAGGTGCAAGGACGGCTCTAAAGCCTCCACCAGAGCTTCCCCAGACAATGCAGCCACAGGCAGCCTTTAAATAAGAGGAAAGAATCAAAGGTAGGGAGTGACCTGGTCAGATCAGCTGGGGAAGATGTAGGGGGAAGGTGGGAGAGAGCAGACACGCTGGAAACATTGCAGTTTTCTTCCCATGTCCATTGGGCAGCAAAGAACAGTGGCATAAGAGTTCACAGCTGCTCTCAATGTTGGCAATTATCACACAGAAGGGTTTGCCACCTACACTGGCAGAAAATGTGTCATCAGCATAAGAGAAATGCAAATTACAGTGTAGTATAATGCACAGATATATGGAATTTATTTATCTATAGCCTCTCCCAACACACGTACACACGCTTGTGGACCCACAATATTTTCTTGGCTGCACTTACTCCTGCTTTGCATTCAGACTGCATGCACTGAAACCAGTCATTAAGTTGAACACATGGACTTCCCTTCTCTTATCCTAAATCTAACTTAGAGGACACCTTGCTGGAGGTGAGGGGAGCAGGGAAAAGAAAAAAGCAGAAGAATGAGAAAGGGACAATTTTTTTGCCATGAAGCCACCACTGGATCACGTAACTGCCACCCATTGCAGCAATGAGGAGACAGCCCAGGCTGAGCTGTTCCTCTCCAAAACACACCTCCCTGTTAAGATGAAGCTGCCACATCCTCCCTTCCAGCCCAGTTCCAAGCCTCTTCCCCATGGAAACCCTCAGAGGTGCAACTCACTCACCTTCAAAAGCGAGGCTCGTGGCAGCTTCCTCAAGGCTCATTCCAGTATTTCCAGGTATTTGTTGGCATGCTGTAAGCATACTTAGTTCCCTCCTTAAACCTGCTGCAGCTCTCTGCCCTCATACTAGGAGTGACCTCTTACTATTAGATTACCACATTCAGCCAGAAACTGGGAACCTCTTTTTCCAAGGGGCATTTTGAGCCTGGGGATAGGCACATGGCTTTTAAAGCTTGTTGCTCTTACTGAGACCACTGGCCAGTCAAAGCACAGCCTGTTTTCTAAACAGCAACCCCACAAGGCTTTGCCACTGTGATTGAAATCAGCTGGCAGAGGAGACTGGAGGGTGGGGTGGTGAGGAGGACCAGAGATGCACCTGGCCAAGCCCTGCAGATGAGATGCACCTGCAGGCAGAGCTCAGGCTCCTCCCAGAGCCCCAAATGGCAGCAAACCCACAGCTGAACTGCGTCTGCTCTCAGATTTTCAGCCACTAGATCAAGGGACAAAGGCACAAGGGCACAGCCATACTCTGCAGCCTGACCTGCCCCAGATTTTTTGAACTCCCTTGGAAAGCTACTGCAAGGGCTTGAGGGAAAAAAATGCTCCCAGTGAAACAGAAAGCCAGGTTTCAATATTGTGTGTATTATGGTCTGGCTTGCTGCAGGTCACCAACAAAACCTGGTTTGAGGTGAAAAATCTTTCTAGTAGCCCAGGAGTCTCCAAAAAGGGGGAAAAAATGCAGCATCACACCTCCAGAAAAACAAGACACACTGACAAACTGACTGCACACAGCTCCCAAGCCACAAACGAGCCGTGGGCAGTCTTGATTTTTAACAAGAAATCAGTAATGGTGTATTACAAAGGTAAAGAACAGCTCCTGGGGCCAAACCACCAAACCAGGACTGCTTCAATATCCCATGGCTGGTGAAACATTGCAGAGCAGCGCTCTGAGCTGCTGCTGAGCAGGGGATGGTTCAGCCTCTGCCACATCCTTCCCTGCACAGCTTTAAAGTGCCATCCAAGCACAGCATTTTTCCTGCTGCTTGATGATTTCAGATCCTTGACCTGGGAATGGTATCACATCTGCTACCCATTATCAGGGAGGGAGAAAGGCTCTCCCCTCCTTGCTTCCCCTGCGTGTAGCAGGCACAGTGTTGTGTCTGTGAGAGCTGAAAGCAGTCAGGCTGTAATTCAAACAAATCAGATCTAATCACCCTTATCAGAAGGCTGATAAAATCAGCAAAAACTGAGAGGCTACAAAAACACAAGGCAAAGAGGTATTTCATGATGGGCATGGAAAACCAACACCTCTGAAGAGCTGTTTTCCCCACAGAGACATCAGATCACAGTGGGGCACTGCTGAAGAGTCTTTTGCAGACCTAGAAAATGTTACTTCCCAAACTCTGATGCTGGAGAGGGCTGTGAGGCACAGAGGTCTGGGTTCCAGAATCCCCCATAGCTCCCAAATTTTGGACAAAGGAGTCACAAAACCACTACAGGTAGAGTAACACCATGTCAGCCAGGTGCTTAATGGGTGCAATGATGTCCAAACAAAACACGGAGACAGATCCAGGTGCTGTGGAGGGGACCACGAGTCTCACTTTGCTACCAGAGCTGGACTCTGGCACAGGCACACAGCTGGAGATGAGGGTTTTCTGAGTCCAGGACCCGCTTTTAGAGGACAGTACAGCTCTGGATGCCTGGTGGGGCCCTAATGTCAATCCTCCATCTGCACACAGCAATATCCTGCAGCTGGCTCCCCTTTGCCTGGTCAGCTCCCAGTCCCAAATTCACCAGCTCCGTGGCACTGCACCATAACAGGAACAGTCCTTGGCAGGGTTCCTGCCTCAGGCTGCCTGTACTTTGTGATCACATTTTTCTGGTTAAGATCACCTCCAGAGGAACCACCTGGAGTCCTTGGCCAGCTAAAGGAGAACCTCTGCCCTCATGTGACTCACCTTCCCCTGGCAGAGGAGCCTGGGAAGCACTTAGGAGAGGAGCATTTCACAGGATGAGCGGACACGGGTGTGCAGACAGACAGGGAACTTCCTGACACACACCCTGGGACTGTCTGCTGGCCATGAGGGCCGAGCCCTGACCTCCCTCCAGCCAGCCTGACACAAAACAAAGCTGCACTTACCCATTGGCAGCGAATGTCACGCAGTGACGGAAAAATAGGGGTTGGAAGAGACCTCGGGAGGTCACCTAGTCCAGCTCTGTGCCCCGTTGGAAGAGTCAGCGCTGTATTGTCCCCGTCAGGCACACATCTAACCTGCTCTGAAAGGCCTCTGGTAATAAAAGCAACATATTCCAGGGTTTTGCTATTTATATCATGATTTGGAGCACTGCTTGAAGAATGGAGGGCACAGAGGGGAATTGCTGCATAATAGCTGGGAATTACTGCATAATAGCTGAACACTGCAATACTGAAATGCTGCAGGAGCCAGGGGAAGCTGCTGAATAGACAAGGATTCATGTGCAAAATGGAAGGGCAGGACCACCAGCAAGGTAACAAGGGCATGTTGGAGGGCCCCAATCGGGCTGGCCAGGCCACCTGGCAGGGTTGTGACATCCAGCAGAGCCATGGGGACTGACAGGCTGCCCAGGGAGGGCGTGGAGTCTCCCCCTCTGGAGACATTCCAAACTCACCTGGACACGTTCCTGCATCACCTGCTCCAGGTGACCCTGCCTGGGCAGAAGGGTTGGACTGAACAATCTCCAGAGGTCCCTTCCAACCCCAGCAATTCTAGGATTCTGGGATTCAGTGCCCCTCCTGCAACGTGGAGGCACAGACCTCAGCACTGCCTCCCACAGAAGCTGGCCTGACATCCTTGGAGAGGATTAAAAAAGCAGGCAAATAAAAAAATAAAGTCATGTTCTCAGCTGCATGGGAGAGGGTGTCTCGGCAGGAGGGGGCTCTGGGCATGTTTACCCAAACACGCAGACTTTTAAAAAGAACAGTGGAAACGCTTAGCACAAAATCCCATTAGCAAATAACGGGATTTCTGGGAGCACCATCTGTGCACCACATTGAACACTCGCCCCGGAGCACGGAGACTAAAGCACGTTGCATATGGAAACCCAGACAAAAGAATATACAATAATACACAAAGGCAGGGAGAGCACATATAGGACGGGGAAGAAGCCAGAAGAGACTTTTTCCTCCCCATCCTGACAATACCCAAAATCCCATTCCCTTCACAGCCTTCCCCACAGTGGCTCCTGAGGCATCTCACGTCCCGTCTGTGCCCACTGTGAGGCCCCGTCATGTTGCCACAGAGGGGGAAAAGCAGCTTTGACATGAATGAGAATCAGCTGACAAACCAAAGCTGTTCAGTGTGAGGTGACACACAGGGTTAGTCTTGGAAATAATTTTTCCCCCTCGGGTGTTTTCCAGGGAGGTCTCCCAGATTTCTAAGCCAAGAGATTACCTGGAAAAGGCTCTGTCTCATCTGTGAGCTTCTTCAGCTCCACCACAACACAAAGGGCCCTGGGAAAAGCCCAGAAGTAAGCACACTGGGGTAACTCTGAAACAAAGCCAGAGAGGATTTGGTATGAGTGGGTTCTGGAGAGCAAAACAAACCCAACTTCACAAACTGGCAACTTGAAGGAGCCCTCTCCAGTGATTCTCAAGCACCCCTTCTCCTTCTCCAAACATCCCCGTCTTTGTCCGCTCTCCCAAGGGCTCTTCAGCAACATCCTCCAAAACAGCTATTACAGCAATTACTGCAATTAATTGATTTGCATATCCCCAAAGCCCCATCATTAGTGCAACACAGCCAAGCGTGTTAGTGTTTAATAATATCAATCAACAATTATTCATAACATCCCGCCCTGGCAGACCTAAATATAGAGACAAGCATTCATGCGAAAACAAAAAGGAGGGGAAAAAAACCCCCAGCAGCTAAACAAAAGAATTAATTTAGAACAGAATTAGGATCATAGAAACAAGACAGACAAGAGACAAGGTCAGATGTCTCACTCCCAGCTCATGTGTGACTCTCCCAACCTGCCTGCTCTCAGTTACCGAGCAAGCTGCAACTAAATAAAGTGATTTTCTCCTTGTGGTAAATAGCCAGAGAGCTGCAACAAGCACATACGAGGGGGTGTAGAGGAACAAGAGACAACTTTCACAGTCTGCTGGCCCTGGTTCAGAACAGCACTTCAGCTACAGCTCGAGAGGGTCCCCATTCAGGACAACACTTAAGCACATGCTGAAATTTGAGTATGTGCTTAAGTCCTGCTCCTCCTCGGGCCAGGCGCTAGGAAAAGGGAAAGGCTGCTATCCAGTTTTCCAGGCTTTTAGAAATACAAGCTATACCTCTCAGAGACTTTATGCTCTTCACCAACCTCTGGATTTGGAGCCAAAGCCTGTCTGCTCCACACATGAGCCCTTCAGGACCCTCGATGGCCCCTTCGTGCTGGAGGTGCCACCACACACCAGGAGGGAGGCACGACCAGCTCAGCCTGGTCTCCATCACCACCTTCAGCAGCAGGAGGAGGTCTCTGCAAGAGCCCAGTGCCAGGTTACATTAACATAATTAACAGCCATGTTAACGTGCATGTTGATCAAGCAAAGAACAGCATCTTGCTCTGAAACAGCCGCCAAGAGAACTCGGGCACTCAGCTGCTCAGGGGGTGTCAGCTGATGGAGTACAGCAGGCACCAAAGGCAACCAGTTTTTTTACACGTCTGGAGGAACTGGCAAGACCATGGTGGTACAAAGCCACAGCCTTGCTGCAAGTTACAGCTTTTCACAAGCTCTGACAACATCCTATTTATGAAAGGAATTAGGCCAGGAGTGGCTCGGTAGGTGCTTCCTACTCTCATGGATGCAGCCAGACAGCTGGTGGGGCAATGATGTCTCCAGCCTTCATCACTCACTGCATCCTGACCATCCAGCAGGCTATGGCTTCAAAGCCATCTTAACCCTCCTCCATCCTCACCCAGTGCATCCCGAGATCCCTCAGACAGCTCCAGCACAACTGTGGGGCAGCAAACAGTCCAGATATCACAGAGGGTGGCCAGGATATCACAGTCCAGATATCACAGAGGGTGGCGGGAAGGACAGACCGACCACCAGGAGAAATGTGGGCACGGGGAAGGAGCAGCTCTGCCCTTGCTTCTCACCCTCTGGCACTGAGACAAGGGTCTCCAGAGCACATTTCCCTCTGCTTTGGCTCTGTCAACCCATCCCACAGATAGATCCCAACACTGTAAATCACACCAGCATGAGCAGAGGACACCCCCCTTCCCAGCTCTAGCCCAGCGCTCCTGCTAAAACTGCTGACTGCAGACTAAACAAAGGTTTTTTTACCCTGCCCACAATCTGGACTCCTAACTGGAGACTCATCCAACATGGAATCTATTCCCATTCCTTTCACACCCCTCCCTGCTCCACTGGTGCCAATGCTGGGGGAAATATTGTGCCTTGACAGTAAGAAGGAGTAAAATGCAATGTCTCTCCAGCAGCATTCTAAGCAGAAAAAGAAATAAGATTTTAAAGCCTCTTTGCCTTTTGTTGGCTTCCAGCTTCTCCCACCACTCTGTAGCCACACACGACGTGCCGGGAGGGGTGCCCAGAGCAGGAGCAGGAAGCAAGGAAACTACAATTGCAGTAAACCACTTCAAAAAGGCTTTGGGTTTGCTCAGAATTGCTTGAAAGGAAACTTGCTGCTCACGGATGTTCGTCCTTCATCTTTCACATGTTTTAAAAGAAATATTAGTCTGATTGTCTGGGTTTTTCTTGGGAAAAAAAGAGTTTCTGGAAGTCAGGGTCCAAAAGCAAAACATAAATAGGAAATATAAATGCTTCCTTAAAGCCGTATTTGGGTTGTTTGTGAAAATCCCCAGCAGCTTTCACTGCCTCCCAACAGCAATTGAGAGACTTCAGGGGAAAAGTAAGACATGAGTGGCCACAGCGCTATTTTCCAGAATAACGTGGAAGGGGAAATCCAAAACAACTAAGTGCACAACACTGAAGACCTCAGAGAGAAGTTTGCCTGGGGCAAACATCTCCTAACTGCTGTAATTACCGTGAAAGGTCATCAAGGACACCTCCCCGTGCATGCTAGAAAAATTCATGCAAGCATTTCGGGTGGTTAGGGCAGCTTTTCCAGCAAACGTAACAAAGTTCTGACATGGAGCCATACGAGGTGACATCAGCAAACAGGCATTTTCCTCAGAAAGCACAGGCAGAAGAAAGCTGAGGACATTCAGCACCTTCCAACTCCCGCTCTCCTGCTTTTAACCACGGCCATTAAAAAGTTCAAACCGGCCAAAACACGGGGTAAAAAGCAAAGGCTGCACATGCAGGACTTCGCAGCGACAACAGTGAGTACAAAAGGGCTCAGTCTGCGAACGTAATTGCATTTAAGAGCCAAATTTGTTCAGGCCCTGGCCGTGGGGAGGCTGTGGTGGCCCGGGCGGGTCCCCGTGATGGGGAGTTGGCAGAGCAGAGGCAGCGCGTGCTCCCGGCCCACGCGGGCACCCACGTGTGCCAGCCCCTGCCCCGCCTGCCCGGGGGGCTCCAGGAAAGCCAGGGGCAAAGGGAATGTTCATCCTGGCTGCTTCCCTTCCCGGGATCCCACTCACGGGCCGAGGATGGAGAGCATCGGGATAGATGGGCTGTTGGGGAGAGGGCCCTCCACAGCTTCATGGCCAGCTGGAGCAGCGTCCTCTCTCCTGGCACTGGAGTGCTGGAGGACACGTGGGATGCTCCAAACAAGGAGTCCTTCCAATCCTCCCCTGGGACTGGCCACATCTGGTGGAGATGGGTGAAGTCATGGCACATGCAGGTCTGGCCAACTGGTTTTACCTGTCTCGGGCAAAATGATTATTCTGGGGCTGGGCTGACTCCTTCCTGGTTCCAGAGCTCATTTTCAGAGGTGGGGGAGAAAGCCTTTGGCCCATTAAGTGCCTTTGAACACTCACTGTTGGCACCCAGCACTCTCAGCACAGTCTCTTCAGCTGGGAGGGAGCTTTGCAGACCATCTGCTCCAATCCCCTGCTCCAAGCAGCAGGAAATGAATCACTGCACGTCTCCCCTGCTCTGCAGCCAAAGGCACAGGTGGGACATGTGTGAGGAGCAGGGAGGGACACAAGAGACCTCACCACAAGAGTCTCTCCTGCTCCAAACACTGTGCAGAACAAGCCTCCTACATGAGAAAAAGCTGCTAAAACACTCATTGCCCTGGCTGAGCACCTCAACTCTGACTTCTCACTCCAGAGCCTGGGAAGGTCTGTTCTCCCAAACAGACCTCCCCAAAAAGCAGTTTTAGCCCTGAAGTCCCAACCAAAGAAACACTCAGGTGCATAGAAGGCACATAACTGACCTTCATCTGCAGATACAAGTGCACTGGATGCATTTTGGCCTACGTTTTACCCCGCTCTTCCCAGACCCTGTGGCATTATTGTGCACCTCATAAAGCAGACCTGTCCTGGCAAGGGCCTACCAGCTTCAATTAGCCCACCTGCGTAGAGCCAATTAGCCAACCTGGGAAGAGCTGTACCTGCTGTTTCTAAGGTGTTACATCACCATACACTAGTGCCAAATAAAGAAAGTGCTGCAAAGCCACTGTTTAACTGAGCAAATTCACCTGTTTTGCACTTTGATCTTGATGCAGGAAGCAGAAAAACCCCGTGCTACCCTTCTCCAGCTCAGATAAAACCTTTCCCTGTGCTCACTCCCAGTGACAACCCCACACCAGTCATGAGCTGTTCCTTCTCTGGCCTTTTTATTTCATTCCATCACACCAAAAGCAGAGACAGGCTTGGAAATTAAACTGCAGCCACCAGTTTCATTCATAAAGTTGGCTGCGTAATCACAAAGTGAGCTATTGTTGTTATTTCTCACAGTTTACCACCTCCGAGCCAGGGAGTATTGTTTTTATTGCTATTGTGAGAACAAGAGGAGGGGGAAAAAATAATCTTAAGCTTCCCTTCCCCTCCCAATCAAATATAATAGAGAAAAAAAATCCCAACGGGGCGGATGTCAGATCCTCCAGGATTTTTTTTTTTTTTTAATTATCTACAGGAGCTCAGCCTGGTGCTGCAGGTTTCTTGAGTCTGAATTTTATCAATGGGCTGCCCTGGGTCCATTTGAAAGGACAGCAGGTGTTCGAACAATGAACCCAGGCTGCCTCCACATCTGGGCTACAAAAGCCATCGCCATGTTTACAAGAAACAGGATAATCAAGAAAACATCCTGCCACAGGGCACCTAAAAAGCTACAGCCCCTTGTTATTCATTTTTCTCTCACACTGTGCCGTTTATTTATAGCACGAGAAGCTGAACTGAGAGGAGGAAAAAAATAAAGGCGAAGTTTCTCACTCATTTCCACGGAGAAGTGACGCACGTGCAACGTGGAAGGCAGGCACTGGGCTCGCATTGTTCCTGCAGCTCGAGGTGGGATGGCATTAACCCCTGAGCTCTCACTGCAATCAGTGAATTGTCTGGGCATAGCTTGTTGGGTTTGCTTCATTGATGCAACC